CTTTACAAAAAATATTTAGGTCCAGCTCAAGAAGTTAAAAATGACTACCAAATTAACCCCCGAATAGACAATGAGCATGCAAAAATGTAAATTAATTATAGAAATATATGAAGATAGCAAAAATGAAAAAGGTACTACCAGAGCAAGACAGATGAAGAAAAAAAAAAAACAAATTATCGCGAAGTAATGAACAAAGGAACACTTATTAATGACAAATCCCACAGACGATACAAGATTTTTTAAAAGAAGAGCATAATATCGAAAATTTGCTTATTCAATGAAGTGAAACAAGTTCCTGGAAAAACTTTCCAAAACTTATGGATACAAAACTTGTGTGTGTGAAGGGAACTGACTCTTCTTGTAACGACAACCTCAGCCCCACGGGCTGGACTCGAGAATTGTCAGCATCTGAGGAATGGCCCACACCTTCCGCAAATTCTTCCAAAGACTGGAAAGGAGAGAACAGTCCTCGAACTGTTGCCCAAGTCTGGCATCATCACGACCCCAAACCTGTCGAGGCCACGGAAAGTCAAAATGGCCCGCAGCTCCTGCTGCTCACCACCGTCAGGAAAGCCCCGGAGGAAACATGAGACTCGAGTCAGCGGGGGTGGGGTGAACCCCAACACTTCCCAAGGTGATGGTGCTTCTCTCGTTCCCAGCGCCGTTCCTACCAATGGGCCTATTTTGCCCAAAGGTTTTACACTTGAACTGTCAGAAACGAGGCCCAGCGACATGAAGGGGCCAGAGGTGCACTCTGGCTAGCCCCGGCCACGCATGGGCTCTCGCAGGCCCCCTGTGAGCCCGGCAGGGGCTGCGGTGTGCAGGAACGGTTCTCTCCCCCTGCTCTTTCCTTCTGCTCCCCGGGCCAGTGTCTACTCCACTGCTGCGGCCCCAGAAGGCGACACAGCGGGGGAGCCGGGGTGGGGGGACAGGGTGGCCAGCCGCTCTGGCTGCCCCATGAGGCGCAGGCCTCAGGAGCACCCCAGGCCCCGCTCTCCTGCACCAACCCCACCCCGAGGGAGCATATGGCGCTGACCAACAGAAAACAGGCCTCCAGGCCCTTGTGCTGCAGCCTGACCACCACCATTCCCAGGCGCTACAGGCTGCCCAAGGCCCTTCTGCCCGGCTTCTCAGAGGACCCCTGCGGGATGCTGCAAGACTAATATGGGCACTTTCACTTTGGGTTTCAACACTTGGTTATAAAGGACCAGGTCTCCTGTGACAGAGGAGGAGGGCAAGGCATTAATTTAAGCACTAAATTATCCAGAGTGCAACACAGAGCTTTGTCTCCCCGTGGAGCACTGCTGAAGGCTGAAATGTCCTGGATCTACACACTGTGGGACAGGCAAGGTCCTCACAGGCTGACGCTGGACCCTGCATGGATACGATATGAAAGAGAAGGCCCTGCCCCACTAAGAGGTGACACGTGCATTGTTTGTTTAGCTGCAGCAAGTCCAGAGGGGTTTCTCCACAGAACGAGAGCAGACGCAAACAAGAAACAAGCAGCACAGAACCAGGAGACTGAACGGCGACTTTCCCGGAGCTGCATAACGGCAGGAGGGTGGGATTCTTCACTGCAGGCCTGGCAGCTCCGGGAGTCCTGGCCCCAGAAGGGGGTGAGCAGACGGGTGGGGGGCAGGGCCTTCTCTCACAATGGGGGCCAGGGAGCTTCCCCTTCCAAAGCCACCTCCTGAAGGAGCTGAGTCCAAGGCCCAGCCGAGAGGCTTCTAGATCTCATTGACAAATACAGAAAAAAAAAAAAAACCTCCAGGGCAGGGGAGGCGCAAACGCACCAGCTAAGTGTGTGTCTTCAGACAGCACTACCTGGGAGGGGCTCCCACCACCTTCACAGAGGGTTCCAGAATGACTCCCAAAGCTGCAGCCCCGCCCCACGGGGGCGGGATGGAGGGAAACAGCAACTTCAGGGAACCCAGAGCAAACAGCCCCCCGCCCCAACACTGAATGGCGGGGCTCCAAGAGCAGAGAGCCATGTTTTCAACCGAACGCATTTGTTTGTTAACAGGAAATAAACCTGTGGATAACAGGAGGTCAGCGGATGTAATTTCTAGACACCGCCAAAAGCACTCGGATGAATTCAGACCGAAAACTGTTTAGAAGACTGAGTCCCAGGCGCCCGGAGCCCTGCGGGGTGGCTCGGGCTGGGGGGACCCAGCGCTGGAGGGGGAGCTGCAGGGAGTGGCCAGGCGGCCTCAGGATTGAGAAATGTAAACAGTGGGGTCCCTGGGGAGTGGGCGGGCTTTACTTCTTCCTAAGGACTTGGAAGAGGGCAGAGTGGGGAGGTCGCCCTGAGAATGGAGAGTGTGGGGCCTCACCCAAGGACCCCTGGGGCCGGGGGCGCCCTCCCCGCCACCGCAGTCCCGCCACCGCAGTCCCGCAGCTGTGTGCACACAGTACTAACAGTGCGAAAAGGGGAGCAGGGGCCAGCATGGGGTCTGCCCAAAAGCAGGAAAGCGCAGGGGCATTCACCCGAGAGGGGCACAGAGCTTCACGGGCGATGCTGGGGCCCCGAGGTTCTTTCAAAGTTGTAAATTAAAGGAAAAAATAAAACCGGGGGGTGGGGGGCTTAAGTAGAGCCATAGGAGATTTAGGAATTTCCAGCAAGAGAAGCTTCCAGAAGGCAGGGGCCATGCCGGGCAGCAACATGCGCCCTGCCGGAGAGGCCAAAGCCCGCTGAGAGACCACGGCACCACGCTGGGTCCGCGGCCTCCACACGGCACCCCCCTCCCAGCCCGGCCCCGGAACTCAGGCTCCTGCCCGACTGCCCCAACAACACCCCCAAAAAGCTGCCGGTGACCCCCAGCCTCACCTGCTGCTGGCTCTGCTCCTCTAGGTTCATCTTCACCTCCAGCGACTGGCGAGCCTCCAGGAAGGCCTTGCGGTGCTTGCGGTCGGCCATGTAGTAGGACATGACGCCCACGATGATGGCGCACAGGTAGAGGAAGACGTTGGCCAGGATCTGAGCCCGGAGGGAGAGAGAAGAGACGGGGTGAAGGTAAGGCAGCAGGAGGGGGCACCCAAACTGAGCCCACTGTGGCTGGGCTGAGCCGGCCATGTGCGTGCCGGTCATGTGCACCTGGGCTGCGCAGGGGACAGAGCCCAGACCGCGGCCAGGACAGGTGATCCTGAAGGCCGCAGAGCACGTGGACAGCACAGGAAACAGAAATGGCCCTGGGCCGATTCAGGAGTTACAGTGTGACTGTACACGTGTACCACAGGCGTGTAGGTTTCTGGGATTCACTGGCGTCTTCTCAGGTAAGGGGGGTCAGTACCTGGCTCCCCGGAGCCCAGGAAGGGGCTAGGGAACCTGACAGCCGTGCCACCAGCTCCGAGCCCTGGCACACAAGGTCTCCTGGGCACCCAGAGTCTGCTCCCCTGCCCCTGCCGACCCAACGGAGCGTCCCCGGCCCACTGCCCCAGGCTGCCGGAGCTCAGCCCCAAGGCTCCCGCTGGAGGGAGAGAAGAGACAGGGCCTGAACATTCAGTCACACTGATCTCCTGCTTCTGGTTGCTGCCGGCTGCAGGGTTTAACCCCAAGTGGGCCCCATTTGGGGCAGGGCCACTGCTACCCCAAGACCACTGGCCGGAGGCGTCTGCAGCAAGGCTAGTCCCCAGCCCTGGGCCTCCCAATTCCCCGCAGCTTGCTCACACCCTCCCCTGGAGGCTGCCCCACCTCCGTCCTGTCCGGAGTCCCGAGGTCCTGCCGGGGCAGGACAGAGCCTGCTCTGCAGGGTGTGGTTTCTGGGGGAGTCTGGGGCAGAGGTGCTGGAAGGCAGGCAGACGCTCCTGGCACCCAGCACCTGGCCTACGGGAAGGTTGGCCACGTGGAGTACGGCTTAGCGAGGTCAGTTTGCGACCGCAGCGAGAGGGTTCAACAGGCAATAGAGGTGATGCTGATTTTCTAGTTACTCCAGCTATCCGCTCTGAACACCTGTTTGCCCACTGACCCTGAGGACCCGGCAACCCCAGGAGGTGGGGCACCTCTCCTCGGCCGCCAGTGACGGGCTCAGGACGCCCAGCAGAGGCTGCTGCGGGGTGAGTTCATTCGTAAGCTGTGTCCTCCAGCCACCGGATGCAGAGTTCCCCAGCTCCTTTCATGGCTGGCTCCAGCCATCGAAGACGCCTCGTTCTGGGACCTGGGAGCCCATCACCTGAGGCAAGCCAGACTTCCAGAAGCCAGTGGAGCATCTCCTGTCCCTCCGTCGGCAGGTGAGAGCCCATTCTGCCTGCGCTGTGGGCACCAGCACAGCCGCAGGCCACCCCACAGACCCCACAGCGCCTGGGCGCAGCCTGAACCCGTCTGGCCTGCGGGCCCGGAACCTCCATCAGCCCAGAAGCCACCTTCCCGAGGGGTTGTGCAAGCTTGGAGAGGCCCCTCCCCCATGTTCATGCTCATGAGGCAGGAGGCTGCACCCTGAGTGTGCTCTCTGAGCAGCGGCAAGCACCCCATTGAAGTCCCCTGAGGATGCAGACTCAGCAGCCACCAGGGCGAGCTGTCCGGGCGCTGGAGCGCACGGGGAGGCTGCACAAGGTCTGCGCTTCCTGCCTGTGGGGTCAGCCCCTCTGGACCCGGCAAAGCAGGCTGTCCTGGGCCACGCTTCTGAGGCAGCCCTGGCCACAACCACCCTGGGCTGTCACACTAGATTGGGGACAGGTCAGAGTCTGGGGGCCTCCCTGCCCCCATGAAGAGCCCCTGCCTGCCCCCCTCTTGGGGTGGACAGGGCGGTCTGTGAGGCCACAGGCTGAGCTCGTAGCAGCAATGCCTGTTGTCACCCCCTGGGTGTCCCCCTCTCATGCAGCCACCAGCCGTGGGTGACCACAGAGCGTGGCACGTCGGGCGTGTCGCGCACGGGGGCCATCTGCACGGGCAGCGCTCCTTCACCGAGCTGCGCCTTCAAAATAAAATTCACTTTTGCTTTCGACATGTGGACTGGACCATGTTGAAAATAAAGGCGTGGTGGGGGGGAATTGGTGCTGCCCCTCAGAGCTCCAGCCTCATGGCCTACCAGCCGAGGGAGCACCCACTTAGCTGAAAGTCCCTCCAGTCCTGGCACTCTCCGGCCCTCATCAGACCTCTCACCTCTGTGGGCAGAGCTGGGGCTGGGGCTGCCAGGTCCAGAGAGGAGGGCAGACTCCCTGGTTGGTGAGAGCACCTGCCCCTGGCACAGGGCTCCCGCATCCCAGCCCGACCTGTCCTGCCACACCTGCAGGGCTGTGAGGCCAACATCCGGGCCATGCACGGAAGAGTCACGTGATCTGCAGGTCCTGTCCACCTCGGGATCCCTCTCAGCGCCCGGTGGGTTCATCTTCTAGACAACTCTCCCAGGGTGCCAGGAGCTGGGCTTCCCAGAACTCCCCAGATTCTCTCAATCTGAAAACAGGGTCCCCAGGGGAACTGGTGCTCAGTGCCACCCCGAGGCCTGGATGAACTCGGCGACCCCTGTGCCAGGGAGAGTGGCTGAGGCTGAGGCCAGCGCCCCTCAGGCAGATTCTCGGTCTCTAAGTCCCGAGCAGAAATCCAAAGGGGTGATGTCGCCAGGGGAGACCTCCAGCTAGGCAGCAGGTTGGGGAGGGGGGCTCGGGAGTGGAGGAGGGGCTGGGAGCAGCCTCTCCTCTCCGCACGGACCGGCACCACCATATAGTTCCCAGCTGGCTCAGGCCACAGGTGCGATGGGGGCCCTGGAGGACCCCAACATGCAGCCAGAGCTGAGTACCCGCTGCTGCCTCGCTGCCTGGCTTGGTATCAGGGCACAGCAGCCTGGGCTGTGCCCGCGGGGGCCCCGCTCCCGTGTTCACAGGCAGCTGATGCTAGCGCCATTTTGCAGAACGGACAAGAAGGGAGCAAGACCCCCAGACATGCCTCTTCTGCATGGAGGCTTCAAAGCCCACCTCGAAGCGCCCCTCAGCTTGACTCCATATTCACAAACCCACCTTCACCCAGAAAGGAGAACATTTTTAAACTACAACTAAGATCATCAGGAAGATACCAGCCGAAGCCCTGATATGTGCACTGCCTGCGTTTTTAATCTGAAATGAAGCAGCATCTAAGCTTTCCCGCTTCCAGCCCTTCCAGCCCTAATGTGGGCATTCTCTCCGGGCGCCTCGCACGCAGAAGCTCCCTGGCTCGGACTCGCCTGGCCTCTCGTTACAGCCGGAGGACCACAGGCCTTGGGGAAATGTGGCCGCCAGGGAAACGCAAACCCTGAGCAGCCGACTGGTCCTTCTTGTGCCTGACAGACAGGCTTCTCTGACCTCTGACCTCTGCAGGCCTGGCTTTAATTTTCTGATGTCCCCATTCCGGGGGGGGGAGGGGGACACTTCCTTTTCAGAAGTGGTATCTCCCCCAGGACTGCCTCCCCAACTGTGCCAAAACCGGCCCCTCCATGCCCAGCCCCACCTGGCACACCTGGCAGACCCCTCTTGTCCCAAGAGTCCTGCTCAGCCTCCACTCGCCGGACAGTGCCTCCCCCCCGGTCCCCAAACAGGGTCCTGTGCCCTCTAGGAGAAGGGGTGCCTGGGAAGGCGACTCTGCTGTCCTCACCCTGTGTCCCCAGAGCCCACCCCAGGCCTCATCTAGCACAGGTGCTCAAAGCAAGGGCTAGTGGCTAGACAGACGTCACAACTCACCCTGCAACCCTCCGTCTCTGGCCAGCGGACAAGAAGACCAGAGCCGCCTGGCCCCCGTGTCCTCCCCAGGCCAGCCCCTGCGCCTCCAGCCTGCCAACGAACACAGGCCCTGCCCTGCCTGGCGTAGCCTGGGAGCAGAGGGGAAGGAGGCCTGGCCGCGCCCCGCGGGCCCGACAGGCCAGGACAGCAAGGCCGGGCAGCTGACGGCCCAGAGCGAGGGGCCACACACAGCGGCAGAGGCGGGCAGGCAGGTCGCGGCCACGCAGGGAGCCAGGGGACGGCTTCCTGGAAACAGGTTCTCGCGACAGGGTTCTGAGGGGGGGGCGCTCCCTCTCGGGGACACGGCACACACTGATAGAGCAGACGGGAGGTGCCCTGGCCCAGGCCCCTCAGAGTCACAGGGCCCTGGCGTGCACTGGCTCCCAGCCAGCACCGGCACCTCCACACCGCACGTGCTCCTTGGGGAGACCTCTGTACTGAGGAGCCTGAGGCATCTGGGGTGCCCCAGGGCACCCCGCAGCCCCCTTGTAGACCGGGCAGCAGTCTATTTCAAGAGAAACCTTTTTATAATCTACAACATTGTCTAAATAATGAAAACAATGACTGAGCCTCCCACGTGGGTAAACACTGGGACCAAAGTTTCCTCTGACGGACCCACAACAGCTGGCTCGAGTGTTTGTGATCCCCCAGCGCGGAAAGGCAGCGTGAGAAAATTCTTTCCCGAAATCCTCCCTCACGGAATGGGATGAATCATGATTCCTGCACATTCTTCTGCCCGCCCCTGGGGACACCGGCTGGTGCTGGGCACAGGAGGCTGGTGGAGCTCTCCGCCTCAGAGACCCCCCACAGGCCCCCTCCAGCCTGCAGATCCCAGAGCACCCCAGAGCCGGGAGAAGGGTCTGGGAAAGCCGCTCTGGGCGTCAGGGCCACGTCAGCCACCCTCAGAGACCGCGGCGCTCCGACGTTGGGAGAGGGCAGCACTGGGGCTTCTGTTCATTAAAACTCACTCAGATGTTTTGGAAACATCTCCAAGGCGCTGCAGGGCCGAGAGGAGCAGGGGAGAAGGCACCCCCACCGGCCACGGCCTCCCCAGCCACGGACGCCACGCAGAGCCCGGGGTGGCTGCCGCCCGCCGGGGCCCCAGCCTGGAGTCCTGGGCTGCAGGGCCTTGGAGGGGCCTGGTGAGGTGCGCGGGAGGCCGGCCAAGGTGGGCCGCACCATCACCCTCACCTGGCGTGCGGCGCCCAGGCTGTGTGGCCCGGAGCAAGTTACTCAACCTCTCTGAGACTTGGCTTCCGTACAAGGGCTGTGCCAGGGAGACCGAAAGCGCTT